GGCCCGAGAGAGCTGGTGCAACCTGAGCACGACGAACCGATCTGCGGAACTACGCGACGCCGGTTACGAACATGGAGATGTCAGGTTCGTTGCTATGACCCCAAAGCCAACCACGAAAGCATGAGGCTGCTCTTCGAGCTTAGCGCCACACTGGGTACCATGACGGCTGACGAGGATGGGGCGCTTACGATGCTACGTATGAGCAACAAGATGATTGCCCTTTTGATATCGGTTGTCAACCAAGATGATCGGCCTCTTTCAAAAGCATGTTCGGACACAGCTCCAACGTTAAGCGAACGCCTCGAATCAGCCTACAACGATCGATTCGGCTACACAGCCCGCTGGAATCACGAGGGCCGGAGGAGGTGGAAACAAACCCGCCAGCGAGTACAAGGCCGTCCAACAGTTAGAGATGTTCTCGGACAAGATGTTGCTGATCGCGCTCGCCCAAGTGACGCATTGGTACCGGAAACCTCTGAAATTTGGAACAACAGACTCGAAGCCGCAGATCGGGCGTTCCCTGGCGACGAAGAGGACGATTTGATTCAATTCATTGAACGATGGAAAGAGGGACGGCTGGTTCGCCTTGAGCGAACGCACCCACGCGTCAAACATCAAGCGGGAAGGCGTAAAAGGAACTTGCGAACTCGACGATGACGATCACGCGGAGTTGGACGGGGATCTATGGCACAGGTTTCACGACCAATTTCAAAGAACGGAGCCGCGGGGAAAGCCCAAAGGTATGCGTGAGGGAGACGGCTTAATGGCGTACGCGAACACACATAGATACACAAATGGTACTCGGCCGTGACAGGGGTCACACTGTCGCACAACATGATCCCAGAAAGACCCAAGAGGTCAACGACGCGGCGGCGCAGCTGGGGCAGTGGAGTGCGTTGGTAGGGAGGGCCCCAGAGATATACGGGAGCGCACGCTCGTTAATTTTGCCGCGCAGGGTCATTGCCCTGAGGGTCATCTTGACCCGCGCAGGCGAATCATTTTACGACTGGCGGCAGAACTGCTTCAAGACGCCAGAATCGCTGAATTCTTACACCAACCAGAAGCTCTTCATCAAGGGTAAGGATCAGGCCAGACAGTATTGACCCGGCGCCCACGCGAATAATAACGGCTCCATGGATATTGGCCATGTTAATTATGAAGATGCTGGGGGGTGGGGCACGAGTGGGGGCGAGGCCCGCACGTGTGGTGAGAGTGGGAACTAGTGGACGTAGAAGGGAGAATGCGTGAGCGGGGACGGCGACATGAACGAAGTTGCACGCGTGGAAGGGTGAAGGGCCCATGTTGCGCGCGTGGAGGGCATGGGCGCGTCGTCAAAGACCTGCGCCGCGGAAGGAGCTACAAGAGAAATCGTGGCGGACAGGGCGAATGCACAGGCGCCAAAGGTCATCGAGGAGCGCGAGTAGGAAGATGCAAAGGAGGCCACCAGGGCGCCAAGGTCTACCTCTGGGGGTACGTCAATGGAGGTGACCAAGGGAGCCAAGCCCCTGGATGGGAAGGAGGGGGCGACGGAGGACTTGCGCCGATCTGCGAGAGAAGGAGAGAGAGAGAGAGAGAGAGAGAGAGAGAGAGAGAGAGAGAGAGAGAGAGAGAGAGAGAGAGAGAGAGAGAGAGAGAGAGAGAGAGAAAGAGAGAGAGAGAGAGAGAGAAAAAAAAATGAAAAAAAACAACAGAGGGATATATAGAGAGAGGAACACAAAACAAAAAAGAAGTCGAGTGAGGGAAGAGAGAGAGAGAGAGAGAGAGAGAAAGAGAGAGAGATAGAGAGAGAGAGAGAGAGAGAGAGAGAGAGAAAGTCAAAACAACAAAGAGAAAGAGAGAGAGAGAGAGAGATGAACACTGAACAAACAAAGACATCGAGTGAGGGAGAGAGAGAGAGAGAGAGAGAGAGAGAGAGAGAGAGAGAAAGGAACAACAAGAACACATGCTACACATGTGGTAGCACGCTGCCCCAAGACACCTGGCACCTGCGGGGGCTGGCGGGGGGCGCGGGGCAGCCCTCGCAGGTGCAAGTGCAGGCCGCGCCTGGGCGGGGGCGCGACAGCGTCGACATGCGCGATGCCACTGGCAACGGCCTGGCAACAGAGTTGGCGCGAGGGCGCAGGAGAGGAAGATGGAGCCCCAGGTGGCGAAGTGGAGGAACAGGGAGGCCAGGTTCGGGGCTGAGAGGAAGCATGCGCTGCGCGGGCGCAGCGTCGCCCGACCGCGGCGCCGCGCGGGGCAACCAACCGACGTCCGGGGCGCGTTAAACAGGCGAGGAGCTGGGCGCGCAAATTCGCCAAGCTACAACTAGTGAAGATGGAGGGCCCCAGCGCAGAAGCGGGCGAAGTACCAGCGAGAGGAAGGACAATGGGGTGGATGCGATTGTTGCCACCGTGGATTCAGGGGCCCACGTCGCGGTTGGGCCTTCGGCCGCGGGAACTCATTACCACGCGGAACTCGCTGAGATCTCGTGGATTTGCAAGCATTTCAGCGCAGCCAATGGGTCAGCTATAAGGAACCACGGGCAACGAGTTATTTTAGGAGAAAGTGGAAGCGGTGACCACAGTGAGCATGCCCATTCAGGCAGCCGGCGTCAAGCTGGCTTCCGGGCTTAAAGATCGAGACAGGGCTGGGCGATCCTGCAGCTACCTGGAGCACGGGGCAACGCGGCATCAGACGACTGTCCATGACAGGAACGGGAACTTCCAGTTCACCATCCAAGTCCCGAGAGGAGTTACGAGCCAGGAGGGCGCGAGAAAGGTAGAGGAGGTTAGTGGGGAGAGACGCGGGATTTTCCATAGCAGGGAACACCCGTGGCGGACCTGTTGCGTTGAGTCCGGCTGAGCCCGCGAGCCCCAGTCGAGATCCAAGCGCGGTGAGTTCGGAGAATAGTGAAGACATGGGGGCGGGGCAGCGAGTTAAGTGACGTCGAGGATGCGCCGGCGGGAAGCGAGGCCGACGCGCGCAAAAGGGCCGCGTGCGATCCGAGGCCGGGCAACGACGAGTTGAGTTGCATAATCTCATCCACCATGCCAACGCTGGCGCCTCCGCTGCGTTAGGCGCAAGACCAAGAGCAGAGCGCGCAGGCGGGGGCCAGGGCCGCGGAGTCAAGGAGCACCAGCGATCGCGTTCGATTACACGTGGAGCGGAAGGGAAATGAAATCCACTTGTAGTCGTGCGATGTCCGGTGCCAAGTTATTTTCGAGCCGCGTTGACGTCCCAACGGGAGTGTGCCCTTATGCAGTTAAGGTTGTTCGTGATCTGGCTTTTGTTAGTCGGTCGCAAGAGAGCCATCCGGACGCGCGACAACGCGTCGCCCATTGCCGCGCTCAAGGAGGCCGCGAAGACGTCGCGTGAGTTAGCCTCGGCGGTCGAGGTTGGCCCTGGCGGTGATTCCCGAGCGAGCGGTGAAGTTGAGCGGGCCTGGAGAGCAGCGCAGGGTCTAATTCTGACGTTTTATGGTGGAGTTCGGAGAAGAGTACGCGCTCGCATCTTAGCCAGTCGCGCCCGCTGTCGCTCGCGGTTGATGCCTGAGGCCGATGGAAAGACGGCCCATGGAAGTTGCCGGAGGGCGCGCGCTCAGCAAAGCGTTGCCCTGATCTGGGGAGTGCGCCGCGCATCTGAAGACTCCCCCCAAGAATGGAGGCAGTCACCTGAAATCGCGATGGGGGAGTGGTTTACTCTTGGGGGCGCGCGACGCCAGCCACGAGCTAGTCATCGACAGTCGGGCCAGGGGTGTCAGGGGGGGGGGGGGGGGGGCGCCTTGGCTGCTAGATCCGAACGCGGTCAGAATGGCTGTTGTAGCCAGGGTGATCTCACCGACGGACGCGCCCAGTCAAGGTCTGGCCGCTAACGCCAGGCCCTCGGCGGCGCGAGAGATTGCAGCGAAGACGCCAGAGAACGCGGCTATGGGGCCTACTTACGCGGGCGCGTCATGGCTGCGAAGCTATGGCCAGGGAGGGAATGCGCCGCGCACGAACCACGCAACCATGAATGCCGAAAAAGATGCATCGAGTGACCCGAAGGACGACGATGCGAACGTCCAGGAACGCTTAGCGCAAGCTCACATGAGGATGGGGCTCGACAGCGCCATGCAAGGTCGCAGGATGAAGTAATTCTGGGCAACTGGGCATGCAAAGACGTGGTGGCAGCCATGGAGCTCTGTGAACCCATGACAAACATGCATGCGCCAAAGGGCGCGGGGTCAAAGCTCCTAAGAGGTTTGGCAGTGGGAGACGGGCGCAACTTGTTGATCCAGCAGCGGGCGCAACGGAGGACGCGTCTGGCAATGTGAATGGAAGGAGTGGAGAGGACTTGCGGAATTGCGCGGCCCATGGGCTGCGTGGACTGAGTTCCGGGTCATCTGTTGCGACGGCGACGATGATGCCCCAGCCAATATTTTTCCGCCGAGGCCAGCGACAGCGCAAAAAGAGGCAGAGGGCCGGAGACGAGGAGAGGACCAGAGGCGTTAGAGAGGAAAA